AAACCCTAAACCCTCGTAAACGTTAACCCTTAATATAAAATATTTATGATAAATATTAATAATTATAGACTATAGATATCAGCAAACGGTCGTATTGCTCCCCTTGTACTAGACCTGAGCGTAAACCCTCGTAAACCCTCGTAAACCCTAAACCCTCCTAAACCCTAAACCCTAAACCCTCGAAAACTCTAAAGTCTGTTTACAAACAATTTATGATAAATATTGGTAATTATAGACTCTAGATATCAGCAGACGGTCGTATTGCTCCCCCTGGACTAACCCTGAACGTAAACCCTAAACCCTCGTAAACCCTCGTAAACCCTAAACCCTCGTAAGCCCTTATAAACTATTATAAACCCTTATTGTAAAAACTTTATGATAAATATTAGTGATTATAAACTCTAGATATCAGCAACCGGTCGTAGTGCTCCCCTTGTACTAGACCTGAACGTAAACCCTAAACCCTCGTAAACCCTCGTAAACCCTAAACCCTAAACCCTCGTAAACCCTAACCCTTAGTATAAGATATTTATGATAAATATTAATGATTATAGACTATAGATATCAGCAACCGGTCGTAGTGCTCCCCCTGGACTAGACCTGAACGTAAACCCTAAACCCTAAACCCTCGTAAACCCTCGTAAACCCTCGTAAACCCTAAACCCCCGTAAACCCTTATTATAGAAAATTTATGATAAATATTAATAATTATAGACTCTAGATATCAGCAACCGGTCGTATTGCTCCCGTTGTACTAGACCTGAACGTAAACCCTAAACCCTCGTAATCCCTAAACCTTCGTAAACCCTCGTAAACCCTAAACCCTAGTAAACCCTTATAAACCCTTATAAACCCTTATTATAAACCCCTTATGATAAATATTAATAATTATAGACACTAGATATCAGCAACCGGTCGTATTGCTTCCCCTGAACCAAACCTGAACGTAAACCCTAAACCCTAAACCCTAAACCCTCGTAAACCCTAGAAATTAATAAACGGTCGAATTGCTCGTCTCCAACTATACCTTATAACACATAAACCCTAAACCCTAAACCCTTAACCCTAAACCCTAACCGCCTAAAAGCTAAGCCTGCAACGGAGGCAAACCCTAAACCCTAAACCCTGAACCCGACGCACAAACCCTAAACTCTAAACCCTAAACCCTTGTAAACCGCCATAAACCCCAAACCCTAGTAAACCCTAAAGCCACAACATCCTTCTATATATCCTAAACAGTTTAGGGTCTAGGCTAAACCCTAAACCCTAAACCCGAATACTATAGACCGCAAACCCTAATCTTATAAACCCTAAACCCTAAACCCTAATCCTAAACCCTAAACCCTAAACCCTAGACCC